CACATGTTATTACAAAGTGCTTCACATGCTAAAATTTAAGTCTTAAAGCAGTGTGAGCCCAGTTTATTTTTAACATACGTGTATCTATTACAAAACTCACCTTCTTTCACCACTTGCTACTGACGATTCTCATAAATGACATAGGGTGAGGTAACTGTTTCTGGTAGTGTAGCTCTTCAGTGGTTTTCACATGACACTTTTCTAGGGACTAAGCCTTTAGTGATAGTTACAGTGAAAAAAGCAAAGGCTGTATTTCCAGAGAATTAGAAATAGACAGTCCAGGAGACTTTAAACAGAACTACTGTCAGCATAAAACTGTGCATCTTCAGAAAGAAACAGATTGAGATTAGATTGTTTTTTTCACATTCAGCATGCAATAGAACACAGTCACCTGCACTCTACATCCCTGTAAGAATATAGCTTCAAGTGGTATCAGTCACATTTATTGTGCCACATACATCCAAAATAAACAAAAAAACATTTCTATTTGACACCTTGAAAGACAGCAAGTAGTTTCCTTTTTTTATTGGCTATCTGAGCAAGCTACCATTAGAAATGTCTGAACTGGAGGTTCATGCTCTGTATTGGAGAAAAAAACCAGTGTAGACATCTGCAGAAGACTAAGGACACTTACCTTCTGCTTTCCCTAGAAAGTGAGGCAGCCACCTCTAAATTGCACAGCAGTTGCAGTATAAGCTGCAGGATAACATGGATGGTTCTCATTTTGTAGCTGAATAGACAAGAGTTGCCATGACTGAATTTGTAAGCTCTTTATTTGTTCCTTTTGTTATTTATTACCAAGAGAACAAATAAAAAGCTGTGTTTACTGAAGAGTGCCAGCTACTGGCCAAAACCGCCTTATGGTAAGTGCTCTGAAGTCCACTGCTCACAAAATTCCACTTTTTCCTGTGTGGAGCCTGGGAAATAGTGTAAAGTAGTTTCACGATTAAAACCAAACATTTTTTTTTCTTACAAGTACCTTTTAAACATGGGGAAAAAAATATATCTATTTAATTAGAGAACAGTTAACTACCTAGTAAAAAGCTGTCATAGCAATGACTCACGTAAGTAACAAGCGGTTCCTAAAGCAGAGGTGATGACGAAAGCGAGTTCAGTGTTTAACATCTTCAGGATCTTCATTTGGAATATTGGAAGAATGAAGTCCCAAGATTCCTTTTTCATCCTGCCCTAGTCAATATAAAGAATGCCACACAGTTTTATTTTATTTTTTTTTGGGTTTTGTTTTTTTTTTTTTTTTTGTGTGTGGTTTTCAAGGAGCCTAACACTCTTCTAACTTTCACTCTGTCACCAAAACCTAAACCACAAGGTAGCTCTTTAGAAGGGCATTCCTATTCAGTAGTTTACTGAATAGAGTTTTAAGGCATGTGTTGGACACAGTCACAAGACAGAAGTAACTTCTAAGTAAACTACTGTTTAGCAGTTAAGAGTGAAGTGCCTGGATGCAAGCTTAAAATAATCATCTAGTACAAGGACATTCCAAGTTACTATGGGTAAGTAAAAAAAATAAAAAATTACTTTCATATTTTCTGTTCCCCCTTATTGTGGTAGGGAGAGGAGAGGGTATGAAATAGGGCAGTTTTTTCTCTCCTTAATTTGGGATAATTAAATTTAGAGGAACTTAAACCTGATGCAGCTTTAGTCCAGCTTGATAAGTTCAGTTGCACTAAACTTGTTTGTTGAGCCAGGATGCAAGACAGACACTTGTAATATTGTAATATTGCAATATTGCTTCCTCATACCTTCTTCAGTTGATGCTACATACACACCACCACAGTTCATGGTTCTTTAAAACAGACACTAAATCAGAGTAAACAGCTGTTCAATCTAAGCTGGCAGAACAGCAAGCATCTTTGGCCTGCTTGTAAGAGGTCCCACTAACCAGCTCTTTGTGATCACCCTGGCAGCTATTTCAAAACTCTGGCATAGTAGGACTGTCAATTTTATCTTGATCAGCAAATAGTCATTTAGATGCTTAACTCAAATGCTGGTAAACATATTCCTTCACTCAAGCACCAAAGACAGCCAATTGTTTTTTTTAGCTGTAATGGTATCTTTGAGTACTAAATTACATGTTTCCACAGAGCCAAAAAAGTAAAAAAAAAAGACCAGCAATTCTGTGTGAAACACCATAAGACATATTTCAGGCTGGATACCAACTCCTTTTCAATTAATTGTTTTCAATCCCTTAACCATACCAATCAAATAGTATTAAAAGTAAGCAAGCAAGGACCCATTCTATTTATTCAGTGATATATCAGGCTGGCGGTTACAGGTCTGCCTGTGGTATTAAAGGCTAGCCTAAACCAGTAACTTCCAATAGATTTATTCTTTTTGGCCATCTGCATTAAAGTAGTTGTAAAATTTGTTCTGAACATGAGCTAAGTGTTCTAATTTAGTTTTCCTAGCATAAACTTAGACCTCATGATAAGCTGGAACAGACAAGATGAATTAATGAAACTTCTGAATGCAATACAATTTAAGTACCCAGCTTCCATGGTCCTGCAGAGGGGAGCAAGAAAGCATTTAGCAATAGCAAACTCAGGCTGAGCAGCTAATGGGACAAGCTTCTAGTTGCAGTTTATAAACCAGATAGGGATTTTATTTTTTACCATGGGATAGCATTTGTTGAACGAGCCTCATGCAAGAAGCAAGGTCTTATGTCTTTCTGTAGTTATCAGACAACTATATTAAGAACCTGGGAAAAACAATTCCTAACAGAACTCCTAGTGTCAACTAGACCACAAGATTGAGTTATGGAGAACAGAATTAACAGCCACACTGATTTTCATTTGGTAAAGAGTTGCTTCTTTTTAATGTCATTAGGTAACATCACTTGAGATACTACAGTTTTATATAACAGTGTAACATCCGAAAGTTTCTACATTTCCAGTTTGAGACAAATACTTAATTTCATAGCTTTTTTTTGCATTACAGAAAGTGCAACAGAGGTTTATATACAAGACTAACTGCATGACTGGCTGCAATGGGTACTAAGTCTGTATTCAAGTTGACCTTCTTAGCTCTCCAGTTCAGCAACTGCTTAGGCATTTGATTTAACAAAACTATTTCAAGTTTATACTTAGTATTAACATAAAAACCTCTGACACATTAGTTATCCCCACAAGTCAAGAATGTAGCTGCTACTGTCAGTCATAACCAACTGATTTAGAGACGTTAGTAAAGACTTTTTTAGAAAAGGCGTGGTTTTCAAGAGATAAAGAACTACCTCACCTTAATGGCACAGAAGTGGTGCATCTGTTCACAAGGAATCTAGGCATGGAGTGAAGCCATGATTGTCTTTTTGCTTTCTAACATATTGGAAACATGCCACACTACACCATGTGACAACTCAAACAGAATAACATCAGGAACATTTGCTGAGATATATGCAAGAAGCCTATCTGCTTGTTACATTTTTCTGCCAAGCCACCTTAATAAAAAAGTAAAATCCTAATAGATTTCCCTCCCTGAAAAAACCCCATATTAGCACCAAGACACCAGTTAGTGTTATTGGACTGCTTCAATGTTCTGCAATAATTGTTTTGGCTTATCTTACCCTAAAGTGTAGATTTCTAGTGCTCTGGACACCAGCACTTCTGTTACAGACCCCACAGTTAGTCCCTTTGTTACACATTTTCGGCAGAATGATCCTTATACCATTAGTTAAATAGACAAGTATTGGATTTTTTTTCCCCTACTATACAGATCATCTCTCTGTGGCTCAGAGACCAAGTCCTATGTCCAGTCACCAACTAGAACTGAGTAGTGCCCACTTAACTTTACAACTGGCTGCTGTTGTAGTAACAGGCAACTGACCTAGTTGTTTTAAGATGTGGAGTTTCAGCTACTAGTTCGATTCCCTTATATGAAGGCAACACTTCTTCCCTAGGTACATTCAGTTCCTATATTTTAGGACAGTAAGTGCTACAGAAAGAGGAATTGGAGTGACCATGTTCACAAGACACAGGTGCTGCTAAGCTCCTCTGTGGAAGATTGCAAATAGCTAGAGTGAAGTTAACATCCACCAATATGATTTGGGTCTCCACCATGAGTGCAACTCTCCATTTGCTTTGCCCTGAATTATCATCTTCACAGCATGTTCTTTGAGGGTTCGTGTTTCAATCCACCTGGACATGTTTTAGATTACAGACATCATGGAATGGCAGCAAGAGTGGCAGACAGCAAAGTGAAACAAGTAGAAAAATCGTGTTGAGAAGAGGTCCAGTTATTCCGTTTGTCCTTTTCTGGTTATGCCTAGTATAATGAAAAGGACTTATGGTTAGGATGCCTATAATTTATAGTTTTTATTGCTTGAACTAGCTTAGGGCCTCTGAGAACAAAACTAAAGCAATAAATAGCAGCACTTGTCCTCCATTAGCATCCAGACAGTATTTCAGGGGAAGACTTAGAGGTGTGGCAGAGGAATAGATTTGCTAGTTTGACAGTTGGTATTCTGTAACCAATGGTACAAAAGTTAGAGTTACATTAGTTTGTAGCAACAAAAACCTCTCCTAGAAGCCCTATTCTGTTCTTACTCCAATTCACCCAGAGTACAAACCCACACTTATTTAGAGGATTAACTTTAGAAAGCTGTATGGGGGAGTGTGTGCTAACACTCTCCTAAAGTGATATCTGAAGGAATTTAGTCAACCCCTCAGAGTTTTGCACCACGTATTTACTCATTAACTTTCCTCAAGGAAAGGAAATCTAGATCTTTTGTGGCCCTGAGACTTTAAGGAAAAAATTAAATCTTTTTTTCCAAGAAAGTGAAGCTTACTACATTTAGGCAGAGTGCAGCTATGCAGAAGTCTAAGTAGAGGCACTCTAGCAGATGTGTTCTTCTAGGGACTGTTTGCTATACTTCAGAGGAGCACTAGAGTTGAGGTAGTGCAGTTTTTAGCCAGCTCTTTACAAAAGGTTTTCTGAATCAATTTCAGAGAATGAAATAGGTTGTCTTATTAGTGGAAGACTTACCTGATCTATGCAAATGGGTTGCCAAAAGGACCACCAAAGTGACCGGAAGGTGGTTTCTGAGATTCCTTCTGAGGAAAGAGAGATCATAGGCTGTTAGTGGATTTCTAGGTTTCACCAGGTCTACTTGGCATTGCTGCATCAGCTAGTTCCTGTTCCAGACACCTTCTGGAAAGAATACTGCAGGGTCCCTGCTAAATACACATTAACTACTGCTTTAACAAGAAAAAAGGGCTCTAAAGCCATGTTAGCAGTTACCCTTGTCTGAGGTAACACACCTTTCTGAAAAGCCATGAGTGCTTATGGAACACTCATTTGGAGCTGAGCCAGTGTACCCATAATGAGGTCTGTTTTAGCCAAATGCCAGGTGTCTTAAGTCAGCATTCTGAAATTAATCCAGAGTTTCCACCAAGGGCTTCAAGTGCCGGTGTCCCAAATGGAGTGATCTGGTTAAGCCACTTCCTCCTTCAGGGGGTACTGAACATGGGAGCCTCCCATTCAGCAAGAGGGCTCCAGAGTCCACACTGTTCAGTGCACTCCACAGAGAGGTAAGTATAACCAAAGTGGAATACATCTGCAGCTACATTATTTTGCAGTCTTTTGTAGAAGCTCCCAATACTGAAGAGCTTCCTGCAAGGGCTGGGAACTTGTTATGGACCCAAGCCAAATGGAATCATGCTTTGTTAGCCTTGCAAGAAATGCCCTCTGTTAGATTAAATATTAGCCTAAGACATGCAAGAATTTCTGTTCCATGGCCTCCAAAGCCACAACACTAAGCCAGTGCTCAAACATAGGCACCCCTGTTGTTAAGGCAAAAGACTGGCTGGTTATTTTTTTTTTTATTTGTTTTTTTGGGGTTTTTTTTGTTTGGTTGGTTTTTTTTTATTTCTTTGGATTGTCGCATATAAAACACTCTTTTTGTGGGGGGGGGGGGGGGGTGTGGTCTTTGTTTCGAGGTTTTTTTTTTTTTAATTTTATTTTTACTACTTACAGATGAGGTACTGAAAAGGTCTGTTTTAGCTTGACTTTCAAATGGGTCATCAGCTGGCAGCACACTTTGTCGAGGAACAGGCTGTGGTGGTTCTAAGGAAAAGAGACATACTGCTATAATCACTTAACAGCTTTAACAAGTACTCAGCTCTGCCTGTGTACCAGCACCAAACCTTATCTAATTAGATACATAAAAAACCTGTACAGAAGCTGCTTTGTGTCACCTCACAATTTCATCTCCTGCTTGTCCCTCACTACACTTAAGCTAGATGGGACTTCTAACATTGTACAGACCCAGTTTACCTCATTCTAGTCAAGCAGTTTTTAGGCACTAGGTGTCAGTGTTTGGCCACTGACATAAATTCTGTAACCTTATGGGAGACAGTCCTTCAACCCTCTGGTTCAGTAACCATTAAATCAAATTTTTAGTTCTATCAGAAGAAATCAGCCATCCCAATCCCACAGCATCTATCCAAGCAGAAGAAAAAAATTTTACCATTCATTTTGGCTGACAGCTTGCTAGCTTCCATGTCATCATGATCTCTACTATCTTGAGGAATGCCTACTTTACTACTAAAATCATTGGTAAAAACTTGAGAAGCACCTGAAAGGTTTTGCTGCTCTCCTCTCCTTGCTGGTACTGCAGGTGGCTTTGTCAGATGGAAGTCTTTGAACATTTCCTTGACATCCTTCACCTCTTTATCACCAAGTGGATCCAGAGCAATAAAGGCATCACTCTCTTTCTTGGATAGCTCCCTCTGAGGTGCAGTTCTAGGTGGTGGCTGAGGTGGGCTAGTTGTTGTTGTTGTTGACATGGAGGGCAGTACAGATGGTGTCTGCGCAGCTAGTGTTGAAGATGGGAACACACTACTCTGGAAGGGATTTACAGAACTGGATGACTGCACCCATGGGCTAGATGGAATTTGTGCTGGCTGTGCCCAGAGACCAGAGGACTGAGGGGCTGCTGCACTAAAAGATGCAGGCTGTTTCCAGCTTGGCATTCCTTGAGTACTAAAGGGCATTGGAGAAAATCCTGGAGACTGAGAAGACATCATAGACCCAGGAAAGACTGATGCAGGTGGAGGGAAAGCAGGTGTCTGTGCACTCCATGGTGCTGGAGTCACTGGAAAGCCACCTAGGGGAAATTGTTACACAGCACTTCAGTGATCTGAAGACCTCAAGCAGGAGTGTATCAGTTCCACTGAGGGTAGCAGGAAAACATTTTTCATGTGCTTTTACAAAAATCTGTTTATTTAAAATTAAATGTCAAGTCATTTGGGAGGGATGGGAAAAGGGGGTTAAGATTTTTTTACTTTGCTCCATTTCAGTCCTGGAAGAACAGAATTGACATTTACGTAACAGCAGGAGGAACATATTTAGTCCTAGCACAGAAGTGACAGATTCATTTGCCATTTAGTTATTTCTGTCTAAATGATTAGTAAGACTCTGAAGCAGTGTTACCCTAGCATCCCAAGTTGTGCTTGGCCCACTTGAAACTTGTGTACCTGAAGCAGCAATCTACTGACAAAGTTTAAGCAAAAAAAACCCCTCTTCCAGGTAAGGATGCAGAGCTTACACCTCTATTCATAGAACTTAATAGTTTAGGGCAGAGAGCACATGGGTTAAAGGGCATGACACTACACATGAAGTAAAGGAAAAGTAGATCTCCTGTTTTGTTGTTAGCAGATATCGTAGACTGGAGCAAGACCTTCACTTTGTCCCCCCAGCCAATGGAGCGGCTGTGGTAGGACTTGTTTTGAAGAGGTTCAGTGGACTACTTGACACAGGTCCTGCTTGTGCCACTGAGGTCAAGCTCTCTGGTACAAAGAAGTCTGGGCTAAATAAGTCATTCGATGCAGTCTGAAAAGAAAAATGGCTTTGTGAGTGTGAGTTGGCATAGCAGAACACATGCTACCATCATCAAGTCTCCCTAGTCCCAAGCTACAAGTTTCCCCCAGCCCC